CTCAGCATCACTTCACACCACTCTGGAAGGTCATTTGTCCTCAAGTGTTTATAATTCCTCCCGCGCAGCAGCAGCATCAGTCATTATTAGCAGCAAATTCAGGCTCGAATCATAAAGCCGTTATTTATGTTTAATCCAAACCACACTAAATATCAATTTGAAGTTTAGTCTCCCCAGCAGCTGGCAATATTGCTCTATTATTACTGTACGTTATTATTATTTATGTGACACGGTGAAAAATGGAGCACAGTAGTAATCTGACCCTTATTTATTTACACTTGTGTGCATCTCTTGCCACTCTGGGCCAGGCAGTGTGGTGCACTGGGAGCATCCCACACCCCCAGAGCAATGCAGGCCCTGGCTATGGGCAATGCCTTTGGGAAGGTCCTAGCAGGAGGGCTGGCAGCACTGCAGGGTGCAGCTCTCACTCTCACATCCCCGCTATGCTTTTCTCTCTCTCTCTGGAACCAACAGTTTGAGCTGAACTGTGATTTAATGCCTGTGATCATGGTTTGCATGTAAACATCACTGCAGAACAAAAGGACCCAAAGCGAACCTGTGAGGCTTTCAAACAGGAAGCAGCAGTTCATCAAACGCTGCAAACTTCCTCAACAGAAAGTGTCAGAACAGCCCAGAGCACTTCATGGGACAGCATTATTAACAAGCAATTATCTGCTGCGATCAATAGAGCGATTTTACAAATGAGACTTAAGAACCCCTTACTAACAGGTGAGGGAGCTGCTTTCAACCTGTGGGCTGTGCTCAGCCAAGTGAAATGCCTTGATTTGCCCTAAAATGAGAGAGAAAAACCTCTTTGTGATGTGACAAAGTTCTGGAGATGGGGGTTGGTTTTCTGCCCCTCTTTCAGAAGTGAAACACACAAAGGGTGTTTTTATTATGGTGCAGGACAGACCTACCTTAGGCTGAGTACATTTCCAGCTATAATTACTATCAGCAAACACCAGAGCAATTCCTGCACCATGGAAAGTGTTTGCTCCTCCTGCAGCCAGGAATGAGAACACAGCATTTCATACCTCATTTCATTCGCTGTGCAGAAAAACAGGAATTTTCTGAGCCTCAGGGAGCGACACAGGCTGTGCTGTATGCAGTGCATGGATTGCTCTTCTGCGGTTTTTTAGGGAATTTTTTTAACCTGGGAAGGAGAAAATCATCCCCATTCCCAACACTGTCTGAATTTTGAGTGTGTAACTTTGAATGCTTCACCGCATTGCTCCCGCAGTGCCTTTCTGTTTGTGTATACTTGGTTTATTGTTGCTTTTTTTGCATTCACTCATTTCACTGTCAATTTAAGCTTAATGTCATTAAAATTGCTCTGGTTTGCTCTACTTAAAATTCTCCAATTAGAAGGCATTTTTTTTCCTTTGGCAGGAACTGCTAAGTCAATTACTTTCTCCTATTTTGTATTTTTCCCTAATGACTCATTAGATAAGCACCTTTGCAATTGCCTGCAGGAAGCAATCAGCCCGCTATCAGCAAACGCCTCGCACAAATCAGTGGCAGAAAGCTCTGTAGGTTGAAGACCGGGCATCAGACCTGGGCCAAGACAACAATCTTTCCCCAAGGCCTAAGCACCCCCAGGGATGTACGCAGAGCATCGCTGCCCTCCCAGCGCAGCACTGTGGATGCAGGAGCAGTGGGTCGGGGCTTGGTGGAAACATCCTCAGCAGTCTGAAGTCACCTCGGGTAACATCTCCGTGTGCTTCATCTCCCCATCTTCCACGACCCTCCTCCATGTGCTGTGCTGAGCAGCAGGGGAGCCTCACCATTTGCTGATCAGCTATTAAACGCTTGAAATCTAATTAATAGCATCGCTCTAACTGTAGTCTGATGCAAAGCTTTGTTATCAAACTATGCCTAGTGAAACAAACGTGCTAATTAGCCACACTGGAAATAGGATGGAAGTAATAGCCCATTATTGTAAAATTGTGCTATTTATGCCCTACAATAACCATCCCTTGCAGGGAGAAATGCTGAGTGCGTGTTACTGTCTGGATGGGGGCTTAGTGTTGTGGGGATGGGGAGGGACGTTCAAGGCACAAACAGGGATTTGTGGGGATGCAGAATGACAGGGCAGGGAGGTTTCCTTCCCTCAGCCTCTTCTGAGTGTGTAGGGGTGTCTGTTAGCAGAAAAGGGAAATTTGCTCAGTGCTTATCAGGGTTCATTTCTAGTATTGACCATTAGCAACCTGTGTCTCATCTAGATGTAGCAGTTAACAGCACATGCTCCAAGTGCAAGGTGTGCACCTGGGTGATGGCAGCACCCACTGTCAGTACGAGCTGGGGGACGTAAGGATAGAGCACAGCCCTGCCAAAAAGGACCGGGGGTACTGGTGGGTGGCAGCTGGACATGAGCCAGCAGTGTGCCCTGGCAGCACAGAAAGCCAAGCGGCCCCTGGGCTGCAGCCAGAGCAGCGCGGGCAGCAGGGCAGGGAGGTGCTCCTGCCCCTCTGCTGTGCGCTGGGACACCTCGCCTGGAGCACTGCGTCCACAGCTGGAGTCCTCAGGGCAGGAGAGATTGGGGCTGTTGGAGCACGTCCAGAGGAGGGACACAGGAATGGTGGCAGGGATGGAAGCCCTCCCTGCGAGGACAGGCTGAGAGCTGGGGCTGTGCAGCACGGAGAAGAGAAGGCGAGAGAAGGAGAGCTGAAAGCGGCCTGTCAGCATCTAAAGGGGCTGTGAGAAGGGAGGGGACAGACTCTGTAGTGGGGTCTGTGAGATAGGAGAAGGGGAAATGGCTTCAGACTGCAAGAGGGGAGATTGAGACTGGAGATGAGGAAGAAGGTTTGGCACTGAGGGCGGTGAGGCACTGGCACAGGTTGCCCAGAGAGGCGGTGGTGCCCCGTCCCTGCAGACAGCCAAGGTCAGGCTGGAGGGGCTGTGAGCACTGCTGGAGCTGTGGGTGTCCCTGTGCACTGCAGGGAGGCACCAGGCGGCCTTCGAGCTCCCTGCCAACCCAAACCATTCTATGATTCTACGATGGGACAGACGGGCGATGGCTGCAGGAGCCCGGGCTGCCCACGAGGAGGCGGAGGTGCTGCTCCCCGCCGGGCTGAGCGGAGGTCACGTCTCTCAGCCCCTCTTTTGCTGCGGAGATGCTTCGAGGCAGCGTTCTCCCCTCGCGCTGCCGTCCCGAGGCGCTGAGCTCCTCCCGCCCTGCAGCGGTGTCGGAGGGGCTCGGTGAGGAGCTCGGGCCGATCCTCCCGGCTCTGCAAACCTTCGGCCAACGCGCAGCGGCGGTGCAGGAGCGCTCCCTGCAGCGCTGAGCTCAGCGGGCGCGGCCGGGATTCCTCGGTTCCCGCAGGAGATGTCTTTGCGGCTGATTTATGCCGATGTTTTTTGCCGGGCGCGTTGCGTTACCCCAGCAACCGCGATGCGCCTCCGCCACCCCCTCGGGGTGGGATGGGAGGAGGGGGAGGGGGCTGCCCCACGCGGGGACCGTCTGGGCACCTCGCTGCCCGGAGCTGGCGGCCTTCCCCTCCCGCACCTCCGCCAGATGAGCCCGCCCTGAACACCGGCGTCGAGGGGCAGCTCCGGGCTGAGGGCGGCCCCCCCCGCCCCGACGGCCTCGAGTGCCCCCTACCCCCTCCCGCCCCGCTTCCGCCCTCTCCAGCTGCGGGAGGAAGGCCGCTGGTTGCGTTTTTGCCGGGGCAGAGGGTGTGGGAAGGGGTGAGAGCTCTCTGAGCGCGTTAGCAGCTGTGGTGGGAGCAGGCAGCCAAGTTGGACGGAGGCTGTGGATGCTGCGCGGTTTCCTCCCTTGACTCATCCGAACGGCCGGGCGGAACGTCGAGCACCGGGCCCAGATGCAGGAGGGCTGCTCCGGGTTTCCCCAGGGTGGGGCAGAGCTGCCCGGTGCCTGTCCCCACGCTCAGAGCCCTCGGGCACCGCAGGAAGGAGACGGGGACCCGCAGGGTCGGTACTGCGGTGGACGGGGACAACGCGGAGTCCCCCGCTGTGCCCCATCCCGCAGCCGTCGGACCCCCGACGGCTGGCACCCTTCTGCGGCCGGGCCCTGCGTGCCCCCGGCCCCGTTTTCGTGCAGGCAGGGCTCGGCTCTGCTGTGCCTCCTCCCGTGCAGCCGTGGGCCGAGCTCCCCTGTAAGCAGCTGCGGTAGTGGGGTCACCCCGCAGCCCGCTGGGTGGGGACGGGCGGGAGGGGCCGCGGGGATCGGCGTCCTCCCAGGTGAGGCCCAGGCCCTGCACGGGAAAGAAAGGGACTTTTGTCTTCGTGCCGGGAGCCGCCAGCCCGAGGGCAGCCCTGCACGCAGGGGGCACGGGGACTGCTTGCTATTTGACGGTAACTGAGCCCGACCCTTTGGCATTTGCTGCCTCTGCCTCTTCCCACGGCGGGAACAAGCGGCGTGTTTAGCAGGCTGCGGCGGGAGAAGAAAGGCCGCCTTGTCCGCGCCAGAGGTGGGGCGCCGGCCGGGGCGGTCGCACTCCCGCCCCGCATTCCTCTGCCTGAGGCTGCGTGTGCGGGGCTGCGCGGGACGGGGGGCTGCGCTGCAGGCGGAGGGCCGGGGGCCGGCGGGCATCTCCTCTACGGGAACCGGTGAGGAGCGGGCAGAACTGCTGGGAGGAAGGAGCCGTCCTAAGCACGGTGGGCGACGGGGAGAGCTGGAGCCCATGATGGGGTCCAACAGGGGTGATGGAGTGGAGGGCAGCGGGGTCGAGTAGGGTCGTGCGGCACGTGACGGGCGGGAGTGGGGGCAGATCCTAACGGGGGCGGGGGGGCCGGGGCTGCCCCAGTCCTCCCCCGTGGAGCTGCACGCCGGTGCGGCGGGTCCCTCCGTGCTGGGAAGGGGTTAACACCCGCACAGGATCCCACCCTGGCTCCGCTCCCTTCCTATGCCGGAGCCCAGCCCCTCGCTGGCTTTTCCTCCGGACGTCGTACCGGGGCCTCGGCGCTGGCGAAGCTGCGGGCGGGCTGTGGGGTCTCACGATGTTGGGGAGCGTGGCTCCCCTGCCCATGGGCAGCGGTAGACAGACCCGCCAGCATGTCGGGGCCGTAGGGACTCTGCCGCAGAGACTCCCGCTCAGCGCCCGCACCAGGACCGGCTGGCAGGTAAGGGAAAGCGGAGGCTCTGTGTCTGCGTCCGACGGGGACCATGGAGCTGCTCCCGGGTACTGCCTGTCAGCTGGCACAGCCGTCCTGCGTGGTGCTATTGCAGCCCTGCTGAGCCCTCGCGTCGAGCGGAGAAGTCTGGGCTCCGTCCCAGCCCTGAATCTGACGCCTGCTGTTTTCCAATATTTCATTTTTTCCGTGGTGTGTAATAGCTGCCCGCTCGCCCCCGCAGCTGCGTTCAGGGCCAGCCGGGCTGGGAGTGCTGTCCCTCTCCTCGTGGGACACTGTGAGTGATGCCGGTGCTGCGGGAGCCGACCTGGGGCTCACACTGCACCCCACGTGCCTCAGCTGCTCTGCACAAGTCGTGGGGCCAGGAGGGAGAGGACCCTGTCACCGTGAACAGCAGCTGGCCCCGGGTTCCCCAGCAGAGTGAGCCCACTCCCATGGTGGGGCCAGCCTGCCCAGGAAGGGTTAAGCTGCGTGCAGCCAGGCTTGGGCGGAAGGGAGGGACGTGAGGAGCAGACCGTAAATTTAGTAACCCCAGAACGTCCCGGCACAACAAGCGGTGTGAGCGCCGGCTGAGGGAAATCGCTGCTCATGGGCCGGGTTCCTCCCGATGCAAGGGGAGGCCGTGGGTGGCTGCTGGCCTCGTGCCGTGTTTGTGCGTCATGTGGGCCAGGCCTGCTGCTGGGGGCTGCCCTTGGGGGACAGGAACGGGTCAGGGTTAGGGTGGGAGGCAGAGCGTGCGGCCAGAAAGCCCTGGGCTGCACGGAGGGGTGGGCAGTGACAGCCGTGTCCCTGCTGCCCCTCTGGCTCTGGGTGCTGGCGGTGGGAGGGGACGCGGCGCTGAGTTCATGCCCCCCCAAATCTGTCTGCTGCCGGCCTGTGCAGAGATGGGGATGAAGGCATGCAGCTGGGTGCTGGAGTCAGGCGTGTGTGGGTGTGCTGGGCTGCACTCTGAGCCGCTGCGCACGGAGGCAGATGTTGCTGCGAACAGCTGGATGCTGTTCTGCTGTGTCTGCCTGTGGCCATAAGGGCCCAGCTGCCGACCACTCCCAGTGTGTAGTGGGGTCTGTTTTCTGCAGCATATGTGGAGTTGTGCCAGCGTGGTGGCTGCTTCCTATGATTAGCATGCATGCAGGTATTCCAAGGTGCTGGAGCCTGTGCTTGCTGGGCAGGGATGTGCACCAGCTTTGGGCAGCTGCTGCAGGGCTGGAAACGGGATTTGAGCACCAGTTCTGCAGCACAGCCAGAGCCCTGCACAGTCGTGCAGCCATGCAGTCGTGCCCACACAGGCACTCATACCAACACTTCTGTCTCTCCCAGCCCGTGCCCGACATCACCAGGCGCCTCCGTGCAAACACAATGGAGGCTCCCAGCAGGACCACCACCAGTCCGATCCGCAGGGTGCAGACCATCATCCAGGTGAGGCTCAGGGCTGTGGCAGGCAGGGTGAGTCGTGCCCACCAGCACTGCCCACCAGCACTGTGTGGCAGGGTCCTGCCTTGGTGGTAGAGAATGCAAGGGAAGGGTGAAGAGTCCTGGCTGCAGCAGCAGTACTGAACCTCTGTGGGAGCATGGAAATGCAGCGAGGAGCCCTTCTCCTCTGCACCAGCCCTGCTGCAATGCTCTCCTCACCCACTCCTCACCCCGATCCTATTACAGGATCGGCAGTAAAGCCAATTGAGCTAAGTGGCTGCTGCCTCGGATCCTCTTAGAAAAAGCCCAAGCTTTGTGGATCTTCCCTGCAGGACCTGACCTGGGCACACTACTGCTGCAACTCCCCAGGGCTGGCAGCATGGGAGGGAAGGAGCTGTCTGCATCCTCCTGTTTGTCCTGCCTGGCCTCACCCCTCTGCATGGCCATCCAAACACAGGCAGGTTAGGGGGCACATAGGTGCTGGCAGGAGAGGTGTTGCAGAGAGCAGCCCAGAGCAGGCAGCACAAAGGAGCAGGCTGCTGCCACAGGTGCTATGTGCACCCCTCCCTTCTCATCCTTTGCCGTGGAAAGATAAGGAACCTGTAAATATTTATGACCTGTTACTGTAGGGCACGGCAGGAACAGAGGTGGCTTCTGTCATTGTTTGCTTCAGGAGAGGCCCAGCAGGACATGGGTGAGGGCTGCCCCTGCTCACAGTGCTGCACAGCCCTGACCCATCCTGCTCTGACCCTTGCAGAACAGCCCCCTGGACCTGATAGACACAGGCAAAGGGCTGAAGGTGCAGACAGAGAAGCCGCACTTGGTGAGCCTGGGCAGCGGCCGCCTCAGCACCGCTATCACACTGCTGCCACTGGAGGAAGGTGAGTGCTGGCTGCTGGAGCATCCCCACCTTCGGGTGCACCCCAACCCAGGTAGCTGCTTCTTGCCCATCTCACCGCAGGACAGCGGGGATGCTCAGCCTCTCTTTCTGCAGGGAGGACCACAATTGGCACAGCTGCGAAGGACATCGTCCTGCAGGGCCCTGGGCTGGCACCCGAGCACTGCTACATCGAGAACGTGCGAGGGACGCTCACCCTGCACCCCTGCAACAATGCCTGCACCATCGACGGTGTGACGATCCAGCGGCCCACGCGCCTCACTCAAGGTAGGGCTGTGGATAGATCACTATTAGCAGCTCCTGGGCAGGATCCGGCCGTCCTGGGCACGGCCGTCAGATAGCACACATGTCTCCGGAGCCATTCTGCCACTGCCTGTCCCGCGTCCGCAGCTCCTGGCTGGAGGTGTGGCTCATTTCGGAGGTTGTCTTTACTCCGAAGAAAACCATCTCAAGACCTGTTGCTGATGTCTGCGAGGAGCAGAGGGCCCGGGTACCCAGACGGCCCTGTATGACTGGAGGGGCTCGGACCCCATCGTCCCACACATCGTCCCCCCACATCCCTCCCATAAGAGTGGGGGGAGCTCAGGGCGGTCCCTGGGAGAGGAGCGGGGACCCCAAGCGGCCACGACCGCGGGCAGCGCCGAGACGCACAGCGCAGCGGGTGGCTTCCTCACGGCCGCTCTCACATTTTCCGTGCCTGCCCATTTTGTCCGTGAATCACTCTTTCTGGTCCCGGGGTCCCCACGCTGCCGCGCCGGGAGCGCCGTCCGTACCCCGCGGAGCCGCCCCGCCCGTGCGGCTCCTCCCCGGGGCGGTCCGGTGCGCGGCTCCCGCTGCCCGGGCGGCGGCTGCGGCCAGCGGGCGGATCGGGCTCGGTGAGTGCGGCGCGGCGCGGCGGTGGGGGGGGGACGGCCACGCGTGTCCGTGCCCGGAGGGCTGGGGTTGCAGCGAGGAGGGCGCCGGGAGGGGCGGAGGGCACCACGCCGGTTCTGGGCTTTGTTTGGCGGCCCCGGGCTGCCGGCGCCCCGCGGAGCTGCTGTCCGTCGCCTCGCCGCCAGCGTCGTCGCGCTCGTTTATCGTCCTCCATCTGTCTGCACCGGTCTGTCGGGACCGGGCCGTGGGGCGGGGGCGATGCCGAGCTGTCACCGGGTCGGGCTTCGGGCACCGCGCCTCCGCGGGCAGCCGGGGCGGGGGCTCCGGATGGGGGTCGGCTCCGGGCAGCCCGGCCCCTCCGACAGCGGTGGCTGCTTTCAGCCTTTCTCCATCCGCCATTTCATTCATCGCCCGCGGTGTCGGGTTGCGCCGGAGTTAGAAATCCGGATCCTGCGCTCCTTTGACAGCCTCTCATTAGCGACGGTGATTTATCCGAGGCGCTCCCGGGGCGGGGAAGCCGCACAAAGGCCTGGGAGCCGCGGGCCGGGGGGCTCCCGCACTGCCGGGCGGGGAGGGGCGGCTGGCGGCGGGGCTCGGCCGGTGCGGAGCCCCCCGGAGCCGGGCCGGGGGCCGTTCGGTCCCGCTGCTGGTGCAGACAGAACGTGTTCCTCGCACCTTGCCTCGCTCCCCCCCGCAGGAGGCGGCTGGGTGGGGGGACCGGGTGCTGCAGCGGGTCACCCCAAGGGAACAATGAGAGCCACGTGAGTGAAGGAGAAAAGGACCCGATGGGTGATGGGTGCAGGCGCTGTTGGCATCCCCATGTCCACATTGTTTGGACAGCACACACAGCTCCTTCGGGATGGGCACAGGGGGGTCACGGAGCAGGAAGTTCCCACTGCTCTGGGAGGAGCAGCTCCTGGAAAAGCATGGGTGAGTTGGACCCATCTGCACGGGGACACATCGGTGTGCTGAGTGGCTCTGCCAGCTGAACCCAACACGTGCAGGACTTCTCTTAGCACGGTGCAATCTGTGTTGCTTGGAGCTGATCTGCGTGTTGGTGTCACACGGGGCACCGGGCTGCCCTTTGCCAGCTCCCTGGTGGGACCTGGTGTCAGCACGTGTTCTCCTGTTATTTCTGCTCCCCCATACCTGGCATAGGGTGATCTCTGTACATCTCCCCCACTTCCCGCTGCCTGACTGGGGATTTCCCGGCCCAGCTCCCTCCATCCGGACCCACCTGCTCTGCTGGGGCTGAGGCTGGGGCTGCACTTGGACTGCACGCTGCCAGCTCAGCTGCTCCAAAAAATGCATCCCCTCCAGCAAGGGATTTTCAGCTGCGGCTGACAGCGAGCAGTGAGCCTCTCCCTGGGGCCCTGGAGGCGCTTCAAAGCGGGGTGTGTCGGCAGCACGGTTGCCAGGCAGGAGCCTCGCACCGCCGGCATGGTGCTGGCTGGCAGCAGCCCCAAGGGGAAGGCGGCTGGCTGTGTGCTGCCCGCTCCCAGCACCCTGCGCTTGCTGCACGTGTGGGACTTTGGCACCGTGGCTTCCGGATGCTGTTGTCTTCACACACCGGTGTGTGCCTCTGAGTCGCCTTTTACAGCCCTTCCAGGGCGGGTGCGGGCAGCACTTCCCACTGCTGCACATTGAGCTGCATCCAGGTGGTGACAGAGCAGTGAATGCAGCTCTCAATAGGGCTGCTGCCCTCTCTGTGCCACCCGGCCCTGCTGCCCTGCCAGTCCCCCAGCGTGCAGCCGTGCAGGGAGCGATGCACAGCGTCTGAGCCGCCTGCGCTCAGCAGGGACCATCTGCAGCCTCTGCTGCTGTTCCCTGGGGCTGGCGCAGCCTGGCTCCCGGCCCTGCATTCCTCCCCGATGGCGAATCGGCAGCCTTCCCTGCGAAGGCTCCGGGTTTGGGCCAAGAAGCAGCATTCTCCTACAGCGGACAGGAGCTGTCTTGTCTGCAGCTGGCGGCGGCACTGGAGTGCTGCCAGCCCTGCTCTGTGCGTGGCCCCAGCTGTGCGGGATGCACCCAGCTGTGGGGATGGCAGGCAGTGACCTGAATTCCAGCCGTGCCCCCCCCACCCCGGAGCTGAACCCTCTCTCTCCACAGGGTGCACCATCTGCCTGGGCCAGGCGACCTTCCTCCGCTTCAACCACCCTGCTGAAGCCAAGTGGATGAAGAGCATGATCCCGGCAGGAGGAAGGAGCCCCGCGGCTCTCTATGGATTGCCAGCAAGTAGGTGGCCCTTCTTCATCCTGGTGGGGCTGTGGGGATGTTAGGAGTCTCCAGAGTCCCACTAAAAGGCACCTGCAGCAAGCATCCCCCCAACCTTGTTTGGAGTTCTCCTGGGTACGAGTGGGAGTACAGGGCTGTGCAAGGTCATCACAGAGGGATCTGGATTCCTGTGATGCCCATCCATGGATGTTCCGTGGTGCCTTCATTGGCTGATGACTCAGCCTGGTGGCTGTGCTGATGTCTGTTAATAATTAATGGTGCCTGGGAAGAGTGTAACAGGTTTCTGCCCAATCCGAGCCCCCTACTGTGTGTGGATCTGGGGGCTGTGCTGCTGCTGGGCAGAGCTCTCAGTCCTCGCTCAGCCCAGGAGCGTAGGGCTGTTGGGTGCACGCAGGCCCCCCTGCTGCCTGAAAGCTGCTGTTTACATGTAGGGCTGGCTACAAGGAGGCTGTGAAGGCCGTTTCCCTGGCTGCAGCACTTAATTGAAGCAGCTGCTTATCTCGCTGTGTCTGTCTGTGAGGCACGAGGTCCCTGCCTCCAGCCTGGCTCCAGGGAGGGGGATGAGACAGGCCCTGTGCTGATCCAGACTGGAAGCTCCCACGTGCCATCCCCACGCTGTCTCCATGGCTGTGCATCCCTGAGCAGGACACAGCTGGAGCTTTCAGCAGCACTGTTTGTTGCTGGCTGGCTCCCAGTGTGATCCCTCCCCACTAAGGAGGTGGCAGGGACCTGCTTGGTGCTGGGACAGCCCCCTGCCCTTCCCCAGTGGCAGCTGGTGCCAGGCACGGGATGCTGTGGGTGCTGGAAGTCACCAGGCACTGGTGCTTGTTGGGTCTGTGCAGCTGTGCCCTGCTTATTATCACTAGGGCAGGATGCTGTGAACTCGGTGTGATTTGTGCCATGTGCACAGTGCTGAGGGCTGGGAAGACATCAGGTCCTACAGCTGGGAACAGGGAGTAAGAACCTGAGGAGGCGCTGTGTCCCCTGAGCAACCTGCAGCTGCCTACAGCTGCTGCCCTCCTGGTCCCTGGTTGTATCTTTGTCCCCGTGACACCAGGCAGAACTGCATGTGCAGAGATGATGCCTGCTGCTCTGGGTCCCATCTGGGCCATGGGGCTGATGGTGTCCCTCTCAGCAGGGATGCACTCCTGGTGTGCATGAAGCAGGGGTCAGGTCAGTGTCAGGCCTTATGCTGGTGTTTGCCTGCTGCCTATCTGTTTTGCTGTGGCAGCTCAAGATCTACCAGTGTGGTGCTGCTCCATGCCAGCATGGTGAGGCTGTCCTGGCCAGGAGCAGCCACTGCTGTTATTAGCGTGTCCTTTGAGTGACAGGCACATCGGTGGCACGCAGAGCTGTGTCCAGATACACCACGGCCTCAGGCCGGGCTCAGGCAGGGAGGCTGCATGCCAGCATGCCTGTGCCCTCCTGGCTGGCTGTGCACAGTATGATTTTGCAGGAAGGAGCCTTGCACTGTGGGGAGGGAGAGTTTAAATGGAAGTGAACTGAGCTTTGGTCTGCCAGCTGGGTGCCAGCCTCCGTCGCCTGCCCCATCAGTGTGCCCTCTGCAAGCCCTGCAGGGCAGCGTGGAGCGGAGCTGGGCTGGGTGAGGGGCTGTCTGCAGGGCTGCGCTGCTCTGTGCTGCAGAGCTGCGGGAGCAGGGCTGCACGGTGCCTCTGCCCGCTCTGACTCCCGCTCCACGTCTGCCCGCAGAGCCCGAGGCCCTGGTGAATGGCAGCCGCCAGCTGCCGGCACGGGAGCCCAGCCACAGCTCCCTGGTGAGCTCCATCGAGAAGGACTTGCAGGACATCATGGACTCGCTGGTGCTGGAGGATCCGGTGTCCCCCAGCAAGAAGCCGCCGTCCCGCGGGCAATCCCCGCTCTGCCCCATGGTGAACGGGGGTGGGCGCTGCCTCCTGTCCCCCCCGCTGAGCCCCGGTGCCGCCTCGGGAGGCTCCAGCTACGAGAACGCCTCGCCGCCCTTCTCCCCGCTCTCCTCGCCCGCCAGCAGCGGCGGCTACACCAGCCACTCGCCCAGCAGCCAGGAGCAGGGCCCGGCCGTGCCCCCCGTCGTGCCGCTCCGCTCCTCCAGCTACAACCACGCCGTGCAGCCCCCCCAGCAGCGCCCGCCGCCGCCACCCTACGGGGGCCCCAATGACACTCGGTCGGCGGAGAGCCCCCGCGCCTGGCGGGGTGCCCTGGACGGCCCGGCGGTTCCGCACCCCCTCCAGGAGCACAGGGCGGGCAGTCCCCGCGCCCAGCCGCCCGGCAGCCCCCGGCCAGCCCCCCGGACATTGGGTTCCTCGGTGCCGCGGGTTCGGGCAGCCCTGCAGGAGCGGCCGCCCAGCCCCTTCCGAGAGCCGAGGGACTCTCCCGCTCCCGGCCGGCAGCCCGCACCCAGGCTTCTCCCGGACGCCGTGGGACCGGCGCACGGCAGCCAGAGCGGCCGCGGGCTGCAGCCCCCCGAGAGCCCGCGGGCGGCCCGGAGGAACGTGGAGAGCATGCGAGAGCTGCCGCCCCTCAGCCCGTCCTTATCACGCCGAGCTGCCAGCCCTCGGGCGGCCCCGGATGCCCCGTCCCCGCAGCCCCGGCTGGGCAGGGAGGTCCCTGGAAGCCCCCGGACCAGGCGCAAGGGCCACGAGGAGCCGAGCCCCGCGGGCGGGAGGAGCAGCAGGGCCGGGAGCCCCTCGTCCCCGCTGTCGACGGAGCCGTCCACACGCCGGCCCAGCTTCGGCTCCTGCCTGAGCCCCGCACACAGCCTGGGCTCCCTGGCCGTGCCTTCGCCCCGGCAGAGCCCCCGCGCCCAGAGGAAGCTGTCGGGGGACGTGCGGCTGCAGTCGGGCGTGCGAGAGCGTAAGAACAGCATCACCGAGATCAGCGACAACGAGGACGATCTGCTGGAGTACCACCGGCGGCAGCGCGAGGAGCGGATGCGGGAGCAGGAGATGGAGCGCCTGGTGAGCCGAGGGGCGCGGGGGGCTGCTGGCTGTGGGAGGGGGTCCTGACCCGGATTTGGCAGCTGGAGCCGAGGGTTGGAGGGGCCGGGGGCTGCCCCGGCGAGTGCGAGGTGGCCTCTTTGCAAATGGCTTTGAGCTTCTGTTGTTTTCAAAATGTAGGCCTTTTCTCTCGGGGATTTTGCTGACGGCAGCTTATGAATGATGTGAACAGGCTCCTAGGCTCGAGCTTATCTGGGGAGATTATGGCCAGGAGTGGCAGTTGGTGCCCCCAGTGTGTGGGGAACTGCTGCCTCACATCAAGCCCCTCTGCTCGCAGCAGCCAGAGAAATCTACAGGCTCAGCCTGGGGCAGTGCTGTTCTGGTGTGCATGGCTGCCTTCGGTTGTGGACGTGTAATTTTTAGTGCCTCTGGGTTTGCAAAGTGAGGCGTGCCTTGCCAGGGCTGCGGCTCGGCAGGGACACGGCGGCTGCCTGTGCGTGGTGTGCAGATGCTGTTCCCGGCTGGCGACTGCTGGGAGGCTCTGTGGGCATTGCATCTCTATATTTAGGGATGGGGATAGAGTTTTTATAGAGCGAGCAGCTGCCTGGGTGGGGCTTGCCCTGTGCATCTGTCTCTCCCTGCTGCCCAGTGGATTGCTGGGAGCAGCCGGGGACTGCGGGGGCAGCGGGGCCAGGGGAATGCTCCTTGGGGCCAGAGCAGCACAGCTTGGCCCTGGCTCACCCAGATGGGCTGTGCAGTGCAGGTGATACGTGTGTGTCCCCACCAGCATTGCACCCAGTGCCGCCCATGGCTGGTGTGGGTTACCACCTGTGTTTCCCCAGGGAGGGCCCTGGGCTGATGGTTTGGCACGGCCCACAGCCTCGAGGACTTGAGATGCCCTGCAGATGCCCCAGGTGCCATCCAGGACCCCGCTGGGAGCTTCCTGCGCTCTGCCCATCCCCATGTTGTGGCACGGGCAGCAGGAGCCCTGTTTACTCAGTCCTGAGTCACGGCAGGCACAGACAGCCTGAATCACCACCTACAAATAGCCCCTTGCAGAAGCAGCGCGGCGTTCAGCCGGGGCTGCTGTCTGTAATTAGCCTGTCTCCAGCCCTGGACACGCCACACACACTGCAGGCCGATGCTCTGATTGCTGCCCAGGGCTGGTTGAGTGCACTGGACTGCAGCATGGAGCAGCACAGCCCCCAGTGTGCAGAGTGCTGGAAGTCCATCAGGGCAGCCGGGACCTTCCAGACATGGGCGATGTGCCCAGAGCTGGAGGAAGCGCTTCCTGTGTGCAGAGGTGGTGATGACCCGGGGTGCGTGGGAGTGGGACACGCGGGGCAGGGTGACACACAGGGGATGCTGCTGGGAAACAGGGAAGTGCCCCGAGTCCTGCTGCTGTGACTGTGGTGAGCTGCTGGCAGCCAACGCTTCCCAAGAAACAGTTTTCCTTCCTCAATGTGGGGATGTTGGCCCTGGCACCGTCACGCTGTGGTCTGTGTGTATGTGCCCTGCTGCCAGATGGTCACTGTGTCCCCTCCCTGTGCACAGCAGTGAGCCCTGTGCCCCGCAGCAATGCAGGCAGCTGTGCTGGTGAGGGACATCGGTGGGCACTGGGATGGGTGCTGCAGGTCTGCACTGACCAAACCTCCCTGCAGGAGCGGCAACGCCTGGAGACCATCCTGAACCTCTGTGCTGAGTACACCAAGACAGACGGCTCTGAGCTGCTGCCTGGCCATACGGATGCCGGCCGGCGGGCACCAAGGGGCACAGCAGGGCTGGGCCGTGCTGCAGAGGAGCTGGGTGTGCTGCGGCAGAGAGAGAGCCTGGAGAGGTCGGATGAAGAGAACCTGAAGGAAGAGTGCAGCAGCACTGAGAGCACACACCACGAGGTGAGGGGATGGGGATGTCCGGGCTGAGCCGTTCCGTGCTGCGCTGTGCTGACCTGCTCCCTCTGCAGCATGAGGAGCTGGCGGGCCCACGTGCCAAGGAGGCACACCGGCTGGAAGAGGAGCGAGCCTGCGTGTTCAGCCGCCTGGATGAGCTGAAGGGCCGCGTCAAGGAGCTGGAGCAGCAGCTGCAGGAGACATCACGAGAGGTGAGGGTCTGGGCAGCACACAAGGTGCACTGGGTAGCGGGTTGGGCCGGAGCGGCCGTGCTGACACAGCTGTGTCACCCCAGGCAGAGATGGAGAGGGCACTGCTGCAGGGCGAGCGGGAGTCAGAGGTGGCACGGCTGCAGCAGGAGCAGGAGGTGGTGCAGCAGCTGCAGGAGAAGCTCTCCAGCCTGGACGCCAGCATCCAGAAGGAGCGGGACAAGGTGAGCCCCGAGGCAGGGCTGTCCCCTTGGGGCTGTGACATGCTGTCCCCTGCACTGGTGCCCACATGCAGGGCTGACGCTGGTGGGGTTCTCCCATGCTGGAACACGTGGCTGGATTCTGCAGAGGCATTCGGTGACAGCGGCTGTGTCAGCTCCAATGGGTCTTCCCTGGTGTCTTCATGTGCAGTGGGAGCACCAGTGTTTGTGCAGAGAGGGAGGAAGAAGAATGGGCAAGCGAGCTGGGCAGTGCCTTTCTCTCTCCTCACTCTGTGTTCACATTGTGCCGGGCTCTGTCTGTCTGTCTGCTTGGTATTGGCATGGTGTCCCCCAGCCCTGCTGGAGGAGGGCAGATGCAGATGCTGGGGGTGTGCTGTTGGTCTCGCTGTCAGGCTCGGTGCTGCAGGGCTGCCCCAGCACTGACCATGAGGCCTCAGCACTTCCCAGCTCACTGCCTTCCTGCAGGCTGATGTTTGCAGCAGGCCCACCGGCTCTGCTGCCCATGGGATGCTTTGGTCACACACAGCGGTGATGACTGCTTGAGCATCTGTCTTGCTAGAGGTGGCCGGGTCGCTCTCTTCTGAGCATTTTGCAGCTTTGGCCAGGAACTCCCTGCAGGGTGCTGAGCAGCAGCTCGGGGCTGCAGGGTGCACTCCTGCTGTAAGCCTCGCTGGGCCTGGATTCTTTTTGCAGTCCTGGTGGGAGGGCAGGCCACGTCTCGCCTCCCTGCAATGGTCTCAGGCTGTGAGACCCCAACATGCATTGCTTGGTGCCTGTGTGCAACCGGGGCCGTGTGGGGCTGAGCTGCCACCAGCACATCCCAGCAGCACTGCTGCAGCACTGGGGATTTGTGGTTTGTTTTTGATTTTCTGACCGTTTGCAGGCGTTTTCTCTAGTGAAAGACTGTGTTGTGCAGCGCTAGGAGAGGAGCAAAAAGAAACCCCATTCCCAGAGTCTCAGTTGACTTAACCACCTGCTTTCCTATTCAGTCTGCACTAACTGGCTCTAACAGTGGCTGCTCTGAGCGCTGTCACTAACCTCTGACACCAACCTCTGACACCTCTGCTCTCCCCACTCACAGCCAGGCCCGGAGCATGGGGCACAGCACGTCCCATCCACCTCTGCATCCTCTGTCTGCTTTGCCCCACATCTGTGCTCAGGAGGGAGGGATGCCCTCGGCTCACCGTGCTCCTGTGCTGGAGGGAGCAGGAAGCAGCTCCCCGAGGGGGTGGGGGGATCCTGCACCACTCCAGGGATGTGTCTTCAGTGCATGGTGGGAGAAGGGCAGGGGCAGCTGTGGGACACATTGGTGCCACCTGAGCCATTGCCACTGAGGTGTGGCTGCTGTGGTGTGCGAGGACAGCCCTCAGAAGGGGATGGGGTAGGCACATACACAGACAACACAGTGCTCTTACCTGAGTGCTGAGCAGCAGTAGAAGCCAAGACAGCAAAGGCGCTTGTGAGACAAGACCTTGAGGCAAAATACTCATGGACAGGATTCCTTCCCAGGACTGCGGGAATTTTCAGGATTTCTAAGCAATGTCCCAGCAGGGATGGGGCTTTCCTTGTTTGAGCAATGCACAAAAATGCAGCAGTGCACAGTCTGATGTGCCAGGGGGTTGTCCTGGCAGAGAGCCTGCAGGCGGAGAGCTGGGACTCCCAATCCTTTTTGTGCTCTCTGCTCTCAGCAGCTCAAACTGGGGTTACGTGTTGTGCCCTGCCAGCCGGGTGTCTCTGGCTGCACGGACTGTGGACAGAAACAAGCATTTGTTGTGCATCTGCCCTGCCACTAACGTGCTGAAGAACAGCCCAAGCAGCTCCGCAAGGACAGCACGGACTTTGGTCTCCTGTTGTCCAGCAGGCTGCTGCAGAGATGCACAGCAGCCACATTGCCGGCGCATTGGAGCTGCTCTGGCTGTTAGCAGCACCCTGGGTTCTGGGCACAATAACAGAAGGCTCTGGTGGTGGTTGTGAAGATGGCTGTGTGGTAAAACAGGGGCTTCTGGCAGCTCCTGGAGCCCTTTGATAGCAGTGTGCAGGATTAGGATGACTTAACCCAAGTTGCAAAGCCAGGTCGACATTGATCTTTCCGCTACCCTTAAGTCTTTGGCACGGAAACATGAGACAGAGGTCCAGGGCTGGTCATAACCTCTGTAATGCTGCCCAGCCCAGGGTTCTCATGGCTTTTGCTCTCTCAGTCTCTCGGTAAATGCCCCCCTCTGGCTGACCCCTGTCTAATCCTGCAGCTTCTGCATGGCGCGGATTTGAGAAGTGTGTTTTCTCTCTTTTTTTTTTTTTTGTTTTGTTTCCCTTTTTTGTTTGTTTTTTTTGTTTGTTTGTTTTGTTTTGTTTGTTTTTGTTCTGTTTTGTTCTCCCCTAATTCAGGAAAGGGCAAAGATTGATGCTGAAAGGAAGGAGCTAGAGAAACTCCGGGCGCTTTACAATGAGTCGAAGAGCCACCTTGATAACTGCCCTGAGTCAATGCGGGAGCAGTTGCGGGAGCAGATGCGAAGGGTCAGTGTCTCACCCCCACCCCTCCTGGACCATGGCCCACCTCCCTCCGCTCCAGCTTAGGCCAGCTCTTCCCTGGCAGCTGGGGCCGCACTGAGAGCATCGCAGCCGGGCCGGAGGAGGCTGGCACCGTGTTGGTAAGCTTGCTGCTCACCCGGCCCCATGGCACGGTGCTGGCTCCGGACCGGGCAGGGCACGAGCACGGATCTGCCCCAAGCATGCTGAGGAGGAGCCGTGTGCCCCGCAGCACAGCCCCATGTTGAGCGTGGTGTCCTCTCCTGGGGTCCTTCTTGACCCCGTGCAATGGGATCTGCCCCACACGTGGGCTCGGAGAGCCGGGCTGTGCCCTGCCCGCCTGCCCACGAGCTGCAGTGCTCTGCGTCCAGATGCTGAGCATCTCTGCGGTGTGGAAGTGTTGCTGTGTCCGTGTGTCCGGCTGGGCATTGCCTGTGGTGGTTGGACCCTGTCCTCCCAGGGTGCCGTCCCCAGGCTGCCTCTCGAGAGGGGAGCCCCAGGGAGCTCCGTGTCCCTGTGTGTGTGTGCTTCCAGCTATTTCCTGCAAGCGTTTATTTACACAGCGCTGTCAGTTTATGTTAGCATCGGTCTGCAGCATTTTTTCCCATTATCTGGTATTTTCTGGTAGCTGCTGGCTCTTCCCAGTCTGTGGCCAGAGCAGCTCTCGCTGCACAACTCTAGCACACAGCTTCTTGTGTCCTCTTTCCAGGCTGGTGGTGGATGCTCCTGCATTTGACATGGGTCTGGGTGACAGCAGGTGCTGGCCGCAGAGCGCGATGGGATGCTCAGGGATGCTCAGTGGTCCTGGTGTGCAGGAGCCCCGGCAGTTGCCCTGCGTGCACTGCACTCTGTGTGCCATGGAATGGTGGTGGTCCCATTCCTGGGGCATGGGAAGTGTGTTCTTGCAGTGAGAGCACTGCCAGGATGGTGTTTGCAGACCCTGAGCTGAGTGCCAGCATCCCAGGATGCCACCGTTATTTAAAGGCTGCGGGGCCAAGGGCATTTGTCTGTTGTAGTTCTGGTCTGTGATGGATCTGCCATAAGCTCGGTGACGTGGGTGCTTGCCATGCTCCCTTCGTGCTGCTTGGCAATGGTGATGTTGCTAGCATGGGGCATTTTCTGGCTCTGCAGCCTGGGGCAGAGCGTGGCCCTGGGCTGGATGGGATCAGGTGGGAGCAGCTGATCTGGATGCAGCTCCCAGACATTGCGAGAAGCTCATTCCATGGGATCTGTGCCCAGTGCCTCCTTCACCACCTTTGCATTGAGGCAAGGGAGTGAGTGGCCACCCCATTGTGTGTCTGAAGGAAGCAGAGGCCCTGGAGACGGAAACAAAGCTCTTTGAGGACCTGGAGTTCCAGCAGCTGGAAAGGGAGAGCCGGCTGGAAGAGGAGCGCGAGACGCGGAGCCAGCAGCTCCTGCAGAGCAGGGCTGAGTACCACCGCAGCATCGCCCGCAGGAAGGTAGGGACACAGGGCAGCAGTCCCATGTGAGTTGCTCCTCAGCACCCCATGTTCTCAGCACCCCGTGTCCCCAGCACCCCATGTCACCAGCCCAGCCACCTTGCTGAGCTTCCCCTGCGGCCAGCTCAGCCCTTGCCCATCCCCAGGAGCGGGTGGCTGCACTGGATGCTCAGGCTGCCCAGATCCGGCTGCAGAGCGCCCAGGAGGCTGAACGCCTGGCCCAGGAGAGGAACGACGTCCTGCGGCTCCTTCAGAAGGTAAGGCTTACATCTAGGGCCAGAGGGTTGTCACACACTCCCTGGTCTTGCATGCTTGCACCACACATGCAGGAGTGTGCAAAGTGCTCCCAAGGGGTCACAGGTCACTGCAGCATCCCAGCTTGCAGATGTTGGTGACTGGGCTGAGAGGGGATCTTGCCTCCTCTTGCAGCAGGGGTTGGCTGTTAGGATGTGAGATGGGGCCTGGCCACCACGTGATGATAACCTTCCTCCTCTCTTCACTCTTGTTGTTGTGTGCTCAGGAGAAGGAGAAGCTTGCATCTCTGGAGAGACGATACCAGCTTGTCACAGGTGGCAGGAGCTTCCCCAAGATGTCCTCAGCTCTCAAAGAGGTAACTGGGGAGATGGGGCACTATCCTGAAAGCTGCTCTCCTGCGTGCTGAGCTGCTCCCATCCCCAGGGACAAGCCTGGGGCACTGCGGTTTATGTCTGCAGCAGTTCCTCTGCTTCCCAGTGCCATCTGTCTGAAGCTGGGCACTCACACTACTCCAGGCTTGTCCGTGGGCTGCATGGACTGTCATCAAGTTGGGAGGGAGGAAAATGCAACAGAACCGGGCTTGGAAGCAGTAGCATCTCTCCTGTCAGACTGCTGGGATGCTGCAGGAGCCCTGTGCCAGCCCGTGTTGTTAGTGGGTGGCATGGTGGGGACAGAGTGCCTTCAGGAGAGGGGATAGCACAGCTGCCAGTCTGGCTCTGACCAAGTTGGGGCTGCAGCCTGCTGCTGCTGGGAAGGAGTACAGATGGCGGGGTGCCCTCGTGCCTCAACGTCCTGCTGCCCACCTGGGCATGTGGGCTGCTGCTGCTCTGACCCTTCTGCCTCTGCGTGCCTCGCCTATGTGACCTTTGCCTTCCCACAGGAAACCCTCCATATTTCAGAGCCTTATGAGCTGCTGGAGGGAACTAAGCCCCTGAGTCCCCCACTAGGAGCAGCTGCCTCCTTAGCTTCTCCTTCTGCCCACTCCTACCCCAAGATGCAAGAGGTAATGGCACTAACTGCATGTGCTTGCGTGCTTGCCCTGTGCAGGGCGGGCTGAGCCTGTGTATGGATATCCTTGCTGGCAGTGGGGTGGGTGCCAGACCCCTAATGATGCCTTGGGGCAGCATGTCACATCCTGTATCAGCAAGCTGAGGCGGTGCAGACAGGTTCTTCCCCATTTAGCTATCTGACACTTGAGCTTGGTAACACCAGCTGCCTGTCCCTGCCATGTTCCTCCTGCTCTGGGTTGTACCCAGCTCGGCTGGTGCTGAGCTGCTGCCATCTGCTTTAATCCTGGTGCAGTGTGGATGCCCTGCGTTTCGCCTTTGCTTAGCACTGCCTGAGGAACCGCCTTCCTGCAGTGGTGCTGGGGCAGCTTGAGGAGCTTCCTATTGCCATGGTGACATCTTGCCATGGATGGCTTGTGCCTGGGGGCCTTGGGGACTCCTGGCTGAGGCTGATAGAGCTGTGGCAGTACAGGCTGGAGTCTTCTGTCCCTAGCACGTGGTGATGCTGCATGTAAAGCAGCAGAAAGGCATCATGCTGGGACTCCCAGCCCTGCTTTCAGGTAGCTGCAGAAGGGGACAGGTAGCAGGCAGGGAAAGGTTTGACTGGCCGTGGTGGGTCGCGTGTGTGCATGGGGAGGTTTGCTCCTGTTTTGAGGTCAATGCCATGAGACCAGCACATGGGTCTAACTCTCCTCCTTCTCCGCCGTGGATTTCTAGGAGTACATGAGGCTGTCTGACGTTTTCAGGTTCTACAGCAATGCATACGGCTCCAGCCTGGACACTAAAGCTTCTGCTGCTGCTCCCGCTGCTGCTCAACACTCTTTCTTGCTTGCTGTGCCCCCTGCAGCCAACGAGGTACCTGCCCCAGAGCATGCTCGGGTTGCCTGCCTGGGGCTGTGGTGGGCTGGCCATGTGGCCGCCTCCTGCACCCAGTGCTCAGAGCTCACCTCTTCCCTAGGCTGGGCAATTTCTCGTGCTGCATTTGAGCAGGGAGGAGCGGTGGGAGCAACCCAGCCTTGCTAGGGAGTGCTTCTTGTCTGCTCCGTGCAGGGTTCGCCCTCTGAGTGCTGGAGCAGGGCTCAGGAGCAGAGCAAGGAGCAGGTAGATCAGTGTGGCAGCCCTTTGCCTTTTGGCCCTGGGGATCTCTCAGGCTGTGCCACTGCTCCTATGCAGGGAGGATGCGGAGCGGGGGGGAGCAGAGCTTTGTCCATGCTGCATGCTGCCTGAGCTGGGGGCATGATGAGGGAATGGAGAAGGGACGTCTGAGGTCGATGCTCTGCGCTCTGCAGCATCAGCGTCACCACCTGCTGCCCTTTCTCCAGGGGATGCTGAGACCTTTTCTGAGGTCTTGTCCCCATTGCTGTTCGCTTGCTCCTCTGTACCTATCTCTGCCTGGCTGTCCTGGCCCACAGCTCTTCTTCACAGCTCACTTTGCTTCTCTCTGCCCAGTACGTGACCATTGAGCAGCTCTCGGGGATCCTGGGCAGTGTCAGTGCCCCTGCTGGTTCCCCACTGGGCCGTGCCCCTCCAGCTTCTTCATCCTCAGGCTGCACTCCTCTTCCTCCTTCTCTGCCGGCTCTCTCTTCTCCCTCCATCCCCACAGAGGTTTGTGTCCCATTTTCCTCCCTATATCCCCAAGCATTCCCTGGGTAGAGAGGGGTGCTGGCAGGCTGAGGGGGACATACAGAAAAGGATGAGGTGCCCAGGGTGCTGCTGAAACAGCCCAAACAACGCCATGAGCTGCAGCCCCACTGCTGCCTTTGCTGTTCTGCTACCTGTGTGGCAGCAACCCGAGCTCTGCCCGGCACGTGCTGGGCTGCTGATGAGCAGGGGTGTCCTGGAGCTTCTAGGGCTCATCCAGTCCCTGTGGTCTGCACCTCACCTGCCATGCCCCTGCTACCTGGGGCCAAGTACCACACAGGGCAGTGATGCTCTGACCTCTCACTCTCTTTATGTCTGTGTCTCTGTCTGTGTTTCTGTCTGTCCCTCCCATCTCATGCGGTGTCTCTTCAGATGGAGAAGCAGCTTCCAGGGGGCCCAGTATGGCTCCCGGCTCTTGATTTAGAGAAGTGGTACCAGGAGGTCATGGCTGGCTTTGAGACCTCCTCCCCTGTCTCTCCTCCTTCTTCCCCTCCTCCACTTCCAGCTAAAGCTCACTCTTCTCAAAAGCCTCTCCAGGTAATGCCCTGCTCCCCCTGCAGCTGCATGGGGCTACAACTCAGGCCTTGGGGACCGCATGGTGCCACTGTGTTGGGAAGGCTTATAGGCCAGGGGAGCTGGCAGGTGCTCAGCTGAATACTGGAGCCTGCAGCAGTGTGGGACCACTCCCTCCAGCACCACTCTGTGCTGGTGCCTCAGCTGTCACCGTGGCAAGGGCATTGTCAGGGTGTGCAGCGTGCACAGGGCAGGAGTGGTGTGGGAGCTGGTACCGATGTTGGAGCTGAAGCTCTCAGCCCAGAGTGGGAATTTGCAGCCTCCCTTTCCCTTCTCACCTCTGCATCTTTGTGCCCAGGTCTATCGTGCCAAAATGGAGGGTGACACTGGTGCCCTCACCCCTCGAATGAAGAGCGGCACCCCATCATCCTCACAGCTCAACATCTCCGTGCTGGGCCGCAGCCCCTCACCCAAGGTACGGCCATGGTGGGAGCTGTGCCCCATGCAGGGCTGCTGCTGCCCGACACCAGCCCCATGAGCGCACAGGGTGGTGCTCAACACACGCTGTATTGCCCCAGGGTCCCCTGCATGCCCCGAGCCACGCAGGCAGCCTGCCACGCAACCTGGCAGCCACACTGCAGGACATCGAGACCAAGCGCCAGCTGGCCCTGCAGCAGAAGGGTGAGTGCCAGCTCCACACTGCCGCAGCTCCACAGAGCTGTGCTCCCACTGGGCATGCCTTTCTTCCCAGACACACAGAGCAGCCCGGGCTGTTGTGGTGGTCCAGCTTCTCTGCACAGCTTGGCAGAGAGGGGAATCTGGCTATGTCCCTACCCACCCAGCCAAGGGCAGCAGGATCAGCCAGGGCTATGGCAGCCCTGCGGGCAGCATGGTTGGAGGCAGCAGCCAGGCTCCAGCAGGACACAGTGCCTTGCTCACGGTCTCTTGCTTTTCCCCTCTCTCTCCCCTTCCCTCAATCCCTCCGCCTGACGGTGCATCTCCAGCCGACCCGCTCCCAGCAGAGCCCTTGCAGCCAGGCGATGTACCAGGTAGAGACGTGGAGCGGCTCGGATTGCCTAGAGTAGCCCCAAGGCAGAAGCATGGCTGTTTGCTGATACCTTCTGCGTGGATGGGGAGGGGGCATGGCTAGCCAGGACCCCAGGGTGCCTGTCAGTGTCTGCTTATGGACAAACCCCGCAACCCCTGCAGGCATTCTGCACGACACTGGAGCTAAGAGAAGCTCAGTGCTCCCACATCCCCCAGGGACGTGGGAGCCCAGGTCCTGCCTCATCCTCCTGAATGCTGTGCTGCACGGACAGACAGCGCCTCTGGGACAAGAGGCAGAGCAGGCACGCTGCAGGGCTGCGCCATGACCAGCACCTCTCTGCAGCGTTCTTTAGGCCAGAGCTGCTGCTCCCCGAGGCGGGGCTTTGGGCTTGGCAGGCACGATCCCAGGCTGTTCCCCTGCCAACGCTTTGCCAGCCTGCTCCCGCCAGCCTGACGCATGCGCCCCTTGGCTGCCACCACCGCGTGTGTCGGAGCGCAGGCAGGGCCCTGTGCCAACTGCTGACCTGAAACAGCGGCTGCTGCACGTCCGGGGAGGGCTGTGCTGCATGTCAGCCCTGCGCCTGGAGAGAGGCACTGGGAGCTGCCGCAGCTCTGGCAGCTGTGAGCACAGCAGGGCCTGGCCGCTGGGCTGAACTTCCCAGCCCTTCCGTGGAGCCAGGGCCAGCATCAGGGCACCATCTCTCACTGAGCCCTGGGCCCAGCACCTCCTGGGTGTTACTGCTCATAAACCAGAGCCACAGCTGCAGCCCACCTCCATGTCCCCCTGCCCCACCTCAACCCCTTTCGCTCCCAGGGATGCTGAGCCAGGAGTGCAGCTCCCACTGGGTACAGCCTGCACACCTGTTGCATGTGGGCTCAGCAAGGCATGGTGCTGCTGCAGAGCCAGGGCCGGGCTCTTGAGGACAGCCCTGAGCCGGGCTGTGGCAAACTCTGAGTGCAGCATTCCATTGCAGCAGCTCTGTGCCCTTCCACACCCAGGCAGCAGAGCCTGCAGGCCCACAGCTGCCTGCCAACCTGCTCTCTCCTTCTTCCCGGGGCGCAGGTCAGCAGGTGATTGAGGAGCAGAAGCGGCGCCTGGCAGAGCTGAAGCAGAAAGCAGCGGCCGAGGCTCAGTCGCAGTGGGAAGCCTTGCACGGGCAATCTCCCTTTCCCCCCTCCTACCCTCCGCTCATGCATCACTCCATCCTCCATCACCACCACTCCCACGGTGCGGGCCCGCGGGCCGAGGAGCTGGACCACGCATATGACACCCTCAGCCTGGAGAGCTCGGACAGCATGGAGACCAGCATCTCCACAGGCAACAACTCAGCCTGCTCACCTGATAACATGTCCAGGTAATCCTGGGGCTGGCTCTAGGCCCTAGGCTGAGCAGTGCAGAGTGCAGGCTGTGTGTCTTCTTTGGCCCAGAGTCCTTGCCGTAGGCATTGTAGCTACCTGCTGAGCTAGGATTCCCTTCCCACCTGAGGGGCACAGCCTGACTGCAGAGACAGCGGGGTGTAGAAGGGCTCTTTGTCACTGCTGCACTGTACAAGGAGGGGCTTGAGTGCTGCATGAGAGCTGCCTGCTGCAAGCTGTCTGTTGTGACACCTTCATGGCACCATCCTCCATCCCATGCTCACCTGCAGCTTCTGCCAGCACCAGTTCTGCAGGCTGACCCTTGGGGCATCTGTTGGAGGGATGGGGCCCGGCCTTGTCCTTGCCCCAGCCAAGCACTGGGGCTTTGCTGCTGCATTCTGAGAACCTCCAGCAGCGTTGAGTTGTGCTGAGCCAAATCCTGGCACAGGCAGGGCAGCAGGAGTTACACTGTGGGTGTGTGTTGACCCAGTGGTGCTCAGTCGTCTGCAGGATGGCAGCTGTGCTTGTCTTACAGTGCAAGCGGGATGGACGCAGGGAAGATAGAGGAGATGGAAAAGATGCTGAAGGAGGCACATGCCGAGAAGTCCCGGCTCATGGAGTCCCGGGTGAGCATGTACCCCTGGGAGCGGGCTGGGAGCGGGACCGGGGCTGCGTCCCCGATCCATTGGGTCCCCAAGCCACTGGCCTGAGCACCTCTGCACCTGCAGGAGCGGGAGATGGAGCTGCGCCGGCAGGCACTGGAGGACGAGCGGCGGCGCCGGGAGCAGTTGGAGCGCCGGCTGCAGGATGAGACGGCCCGCCGGCAGAAGCTGGTCGAGAAGGAGGTCAAGCTGCGGGAGAAACATTTCTCGCAGGTGTGGGGCTTCGGACAGAGCTCTCAGCTCCTCCCGGGATGCCGGAGCTCCCTCCCCAGGCAGGGACCTGCCGCTGGGCTCGGTGGTGCCGATGGCTGCGCAGCGCCGTGCCCGCACAGCGGGGTTTGCAGCACGGTGTTCCTTTCCCAGGCTCGGCCTCTGACGCGGTACCTCCCCATCCGCAAGGAGGATTTTGACCTGCGGCTGCACATCGAGTCCTCGGGGCACAGCGTGGACACGTGCTATCACGTCATTCTGACGGAGAAGATGTGCAAGGGCTACCTGGTCAAGATGGGGGGCAAGATCAAGTCTTGGAAGAAGCGCTGGTTCGTCTTTGACCGCATGAAGCGCACCGTCTCCTACTACGTGGGTGAGTTCCCGCGCGTGCCAGGCTGCGCTCGGCCCCAGCACCGCGGCCAGGCGGCTGTCCCCCAGCCCGTCCCCGCTAACACTGCTTCCCTCCGCGGGGCAGATAAGCACGAGACGAAGCTGAAGGGCGTCATCTACTTCCAAGCCATCGAGGAGGTGTACTACGACCACCTCCGCAGCGCCGCTAAGGTGAGCCCGGGCTGCGGCTCCGCGTTGTGTCCCCGGGCTGCGGGTGGCTTGGAGGGGCCGGCGGAGCCCGCGGCCGCGCTGACCCTGCGCTCTCCTCCGCAGAGCCCCAACCCCGCGCTGACGTTCTGCGTGAAGACCCACGACCGCCTTTACTTCATGGTGGCCCCGTCGGCCGAGGCCATGCGCATCTGGATGGACGTCATCGTCACGGGGGCCGAGGGCTACACGCAGTTCATGAACTGAGGGCCGGGCTGGGCAAAGCCGGGCGGCACGGAGCTCTGCGGGCGCGGCCACGGGCGGGTTTTTTGTTTGTTTGTTTTTTTTATGTTAACTTTTTAAAAACAATTTACTGGAAACGCGTCAGAGCACTGAGATGTGAAACCGGGCAGCGCGGGGCCGGGGGGGGGCGGGGTCCTCCGGCCGCCAGGGGGCGCTCGCGGGCAACGGGCGGCCCGCGCCTGTGTCACGCGGAGGTGCTCCCGCACGCACGCGCGTCGCGCCGTCACGGTGCGTTTCTGCCCACCGCGGCGTGCCGGCCAATGGCGGCGCGGCTCCCGCCGTGCCGGCTTCCGGCTTTCCCCGACGTGGCCCAATGGGGGCGCGCGGGCCGGCCGGATTGGGCGTGTGGCGCCCGGCGTCGCCGTCCGCGCCAATGGGCTCGTGCCGCGTCCGGGCCGGGGGTTGCGCGAGCCGCGGAGCCGCGGACGCAGCGGCGGGCGGGAGGGGGGCGGCACGGCGCCGCAGCGGGCCGGGAGCCGCGATGGCCGGGAGGATGGAGCGGGCGCCCCGCTGGATGCTGGGCTGGATGCTGCTCGCCTGCTGCGTGCCGCACGCGGGTACTCGGCCGGGCCGCCGCGGGGGCGGGGGGGACGCCGGGGGCTGCCGGGATGCCGGGGCTGCCGCTCCTCCGCGTGCCGCCGGGCCCGGCTCGGGAGGTGGCGGCCCCGAGGCCGCGTTGGGGCCGGCGCAGCCCTGGCCGCTCGGGGGCGGCTGGTGGCCGTGCGGTGCCGCGCGCCGAGCCGCCCCCGCCCTCGGGACGAGCGCTCACGTCTGTTTCCTGCCGTGCCGCAGAGCCGCTGGCTGTGATGTCCGTGGACATGGGCAGCGAGTCCATGAAGATTGCCATTGTGAAGCCTGGCGTGCCGATGGAAATTGTCCTGAACAAGTAAGCTGCCGTCCTCAGGGCTCGCCTACGTGCTGCTGTCGGCTGTGGAGGCGGTGGGCTGCTGCTCACGTGGGGGTTTTTAGGGGCTGGAACTTCGGGATCGTGGGGGGAGCCCGAATAATTCTGTTTCTGTGTCACGAGAGGAACATCCTCTCCCATCTCGCATAGAGGTCTGACTGCAGCACTTGTGCTTCCTGACGCGGCTGTGGAGCACACAGCTGAGCAGCAGGGCAGCAGCTTGGCCTTTACCCTTATCTCGGGGTGCTCAGTCCCTCTTCGTGAGGGGGGGAGGTGTTAAAAGCAAGCAGCCCACAGTCTGAATAATATCTTGTGCTACAAGCACGAGAGGATGCGGTATCGTGTTTCTGCGTGTAGAGTTAAGGAGCTGGATTATCACTTCTCCATAAGGGAGCACGAAGGCTGGTTCATTTTCCAGCACCTGCCACAACCCGCAGCCACTTGTGAAGTGAATAAAACCCTCCTCTCCCTCGGGTGCTCTCACAACCTCCAGTCCTCAAGACAATGAATGGAGAAACTGCAGCTTGGAGAGGATGTGCGCTCAGGACCATCCTTGCTTCGTAGGAGTCTAGGCTCAGACAGAGAGCAAGTGCATGTTTTACTCTGAAACTTGACAGGCATTGGCAGAAGCTGGCTTGCTTTGCTCACCGATGGAAGAAAGCAAAAATAAAGCAAGTTTTGTCTAATTATGAAGTAGCACATTCCAGAAAATGGCTTGCGAGTCTTTGCTCTTCAGAACAAGTTGTTCTCTTGTAGCTTTGTTAGAGGACTGCTGTTACGTTAGAAGGCATTCAGAAAGGGATGGCACGCAGAGGTATTTGTGAGCTTAGCGGACAACTTCGAGCCGTTTGGTAGTTGTTGTAGTGAAACTCTTCCTAGAGCCTTTGTGCTGGATTTGTAGCAGAAAGGATGCATTGATTCTTAAGTTCTCTAGTGCTATGGGGAAAAAAAGTGGTCTGCTCCACAGCTTCAGTTATTAATTTGAAAGATTTCTGTCCATGTTTCAGTCAAGCTGGTCGTAAGAAACATTAGAAAGTATGAAAGTTTTCTAGAGAGGTGTTATTGCAGCGCTTCCAATTAACGGAGTTTGTCTTCCTCTCAGTAGGTGGTATCTGAGCATCTTGCTGTAGTCTTTCTGAACTGAAAACGCTGCCATCTGTCACAAGGATTTCTGTTTTGAATGTTGATATGCATTGCTTTTTTCCTTCCTGTACAGGGAATCACGGAGGAAAACACCTGTGGCTGTTGCTTTGAAGGAGAATGAGCGTCTCTTTGGTGATAGTGCACTAGGAATGGTAAGAGTTCTTGTTACTTATTGTGCCAGCTGCAATTCACATACACAGAGTGTGTGTTCCTGCTCTTGAGAGAGGTTTGTTTGACAATAACAAGGCCAAAGTGATGCAGTTGGGTGATTTTCTTTCTTTCTGTAGTCTATAAAGACCCCCAAGGTGGCCTTCAGATATTTTCAAGACCTGCTGGGTAAACAAATGGATAACCCTCAAGTGGCACTGTACCAGTCCCGATTCCCAGAGCATGAGCTGGTGAAGGATGAGCAGAGACAGACAGTTATCTTCAAGCTGTCACAGTAAGTGACTGCTTCTGGGTTCCTGGTGGGTAGGACTTGCATAGCTGACTGTATTTGCAAACTTCTCTTTCTTTCTTCTAGAGCATTACAGTACTCTCCAGAGGAGATGCTTGGTATGGTCCTGAACTATTCACGTGGTCTGGCTGAGGAATTTGCAGGTTGGAAGGATTTATCTATTTCTTACAGTATCTGCATATGTTTACGTATTATAGGACTTAAATAGCCATTATTGTTTTCTAATGTATTTGCATGTGGTTGCTCTAATGGAACAACATGTCTGTTTCAGAGCAGCCCATCAAGGATGCAGTGATCACTGTTCCTGCCTACTTCAACCAGGCAGAGAGGAGAGCAGTGCTGCACGCTGCTCGCATGGCTGACTTGAAGGTTCTGCAGCTGATCAACGACAACACTGCTGTAGCTTTGAACTATGGAGTTTTCAGGAGGAAAGACATCAATGCCACTGCACAGGTAGGTGTAGCTGGAGATGCAGTGTGCCACACAAGTGCATGCATGCAGGGGGGAGAGTGCTACAGAGTGAAAAGTAAAAATACCATAACAGTGAGGAAATAGACCTGCTGTCCAGCTAGTTTCCTCAGTTTTCATGTGTTCATCAATGAGATGAAGAGATTAAACTCTCCGTGAATGGGGTAGAGCCTTAGAGGCCACAGAGCTTCTGTGGTGAAGTGGATAGGAGTTCACATCTTGTAAACCTGTTTGTTCCTTGCCCATCAGATGGTGGGGAATAACATCAGCAATTTTTTAAGGTTTTGGAGGGCTGACTCTGAACTAGTTGATCTTGCTGAGGTTTAAGAAACTTTGAAAGAGCAGAGCTTTGTTTTCTGATCTGTAGAATGAGTGAAAAGGCTTTCTTGTCTGCTTGTGTCGGATATGCCAGATCCTGAACGTTTCCTTAATTTGACTGAAGCACAAGTCCTGCATCGCTGTCATAAAGCCAGTAAAGGGAATGGATAAACTTAGTGTTATTTCAAGCTTGGAAAGCCATGGGTTCTTTCCTTGTTCATGGGGGCTATCGAGGTGTTTCTGCTTCACCGTCCCAGCTTCTCTTTTCAGAATATCATGTTTTACGACATGGGAGCAGGAAGCACCGTTTGTACTATTGTTACCTATCAGACAGTGAAAACTAAGGACTCGGGAACCCAACCTCAGTTGCAGATCCAGGGCATTGGGTAAGAATTCAACATGAGTCTCACAAAACCTGCAGGTCTCAGGAAAGAAATCTTCTGTTTCACAGTCTCTTCTACACAGAATTTCTCAGTGAGACTTCAGGATGATCATTTGGATAACAAAGCAAAAACACTTAGAGTGAGGTGGTTATGGTTATTAATAATTTTGACATCACTGTCTTGTGCAGAAGGTAGCTGAGAACTCTTGTCCAAGAGGTAACATTGATACTTAGTCTATTTCAGACTGCTGCTTTTTATTTTTCCTGTTTTTTAAACAGCTTCAATCCATTTTTGTTCAGTTCCATTTCATACAACCTTACAGAAGTAGAACGTGTCAGTTTGGAGAAAGTGGAATATCCTTCTGGAGAGGAGTGAAAATGCACTGCAATTATAAGTTGGGAGAGTTGCTTTACATGTTCAGCTCAGCGATTTGAACACAGTACTGTTTCTGAGAAGATACCTAGGACCTGACATAGTCATCGCTTGGCTTCTCAGCTGTTTGATGTGCTTAGCAATAAGGCCTTTACCATAAGCATCATGATGCTTCTTGTTCAGTGGGTACTGTGGTGGTGAATCTTTATTTTTTTGACATAGAGTATGTTTTTGGGGGGTAGTTGTTACTCTTTTGCAGTCACAGCTGGTAGTACATCAGCTATCTTTGTCCGCTTTCTGCTCTGAAATTGTACATGAGGTTCCTTTGCTTTCAACCCGCCTTAGCTTATTATACCTTGGTTCTTTCTTTTGCTCAGGTTTGACCGTACTCTTGGAGGTTTAGAGATGGAGCTTCGTCTCCGAGATTATTTGGCAAAACTTTTTAATGATCAGCACCCCTCGAAAGATGTCCGAAAGAATCCCCGGGCCATGGCCAAACTGCTGAAGGAGGCCAACCGCCTGAAAACTGTGCTGAGTGCAAATGCTGACCACATGGCACAGGTAGGACAGGTTGCAGGATTCCAAGAGTTCTTAGGGCTGAGGGTGGGATAACGTTATTTAGATTAATATAGACAGAATTAACTAGTTATAGCGTAGATAATAATACAAGTTATTAGCTACCAGCTGTCCCTCTGCATTGTCAGTATACTGAAAAGAGTCACCTGTAGTATTTCAGGGGTGGTGGCACTGGCAGTTCCTTTAGACCTGTGCCCACTTAATAGCTGTACTGATCAAATGAGTGCATTGGGTGAAGGTTGGTTGTGTGGAGCTTGGTAACTAAACTTCCTTGGGGTTTGAGAGAAGCTGTCTGTTGTGCCTGTGTTACATCCTTTCGTAACAGTAATCACAGGGTTCAGGTGGGATGCTGTAAGGTCCCAGGTGCAACAACAACACCGGAACTTTTTTGCATGTTAGGCAAATTAGGCAGAGATTCTGGTTGTAGAATGCTCTGTGAAAATTTAATTTTTTTTTTTTTT